AGGGACAGGAACCATGTCATGGCACTTAGCATGGAAAAGAAAAGTATCTGTGAGAACGTGGGCGAGTTGTTAACCCCTCTAAGCCTCAGTCTCCTCATCTGTAAAATGGGGATAATAATAGTAACATCTAACTCACAGGCTGTTCAAGGATGCAATGAGATCATGTATATACAGCTCTGATTTGCAATACATATGACATTAGTTATCATTAATGCATTATGGATGCTTAACAAGTACTAAACATCAAATATTGCTTGTGATATGGAGTGAATCATTTGCCCAACTTCAAGGTGCCCTTATCACAGGGGTTTATAACCTACCTGCCCTGCAGTGCTGGCAAGGACATCTGCTTTCTCCATGTGCTGGGTGATCACAGAGGGGTTGCTGGAGCTGATAAGCACTGGGGTGCTGATCTCCACCATATGGCGCCCTGAAGGAGAATGGACCATCCGGTTGAGAGTGTTTAAGGCTGTCGTGATGGAGAACTGCCCCGGCCCCTTCCTCCTGGACCCTGGGCCCCTGCGGAGGGTGGGAGTGTTGCCTCTGGAAGATGAAGATACCAGGGACAGGTTTTTTGTGCAGGATGACTGACGGCCTTTGTTCTTCTCTAGGAGATGTCTTGCAGTGAGGTTTGGCTGAAAAGGTGAAAAGTCCAGTGAGAAGTTAGTCTTCCTGACCTAATGTGAGTAGCTAGGTCCTACACAGGCTAGTCTGAAGCCAGGTCAGATGCCACCTCCTCAGTCATTGGTTCAGATGACCATTCCTTGGTCTGTGTAGTAACAGCTTCCATTTTAAATCAATATGTCCCAGTTACTTTGCTCTATCAATAAATTCTCACAACTCTCTTCCTGCAAAGTAAATATTACTCTTTTACATTTCTACTGAGGTCCAAAGGAGTTGAAGTCAGTTCTCCAAAAAAAAAAAAAAAGAGAAAGCCCTGATTTGTAGAGTTTACCAGTGTGCCAGTGGTTTGACGACTGGCTAGTAAAATTTCCAAAAATGTAACAACAGCTTTTGTAATCTAGTCAGCCTGCTCCAGCACACCACGGTAACATTATATGCCTTCCCCACCATATTGGTAAATTCCCACAGGAAATATCTTTTGAGTATCCTACCCACTGAGGGACCCTGNCCATATTGGTAAATTCCCACAGGAAATATCTTTTGAGTATCCTACCCACTGAGGGACCCTGTGGGTTCATTTTCTTTGGAAATCTGAAATATGTTGACAAAACAAGGGTTTGTGTGAAAAACCCTTAAATTTCAGGATGATTACTTAAATTTCCAATATTATAATTGTTACCAGTTGCCGTCCTCAACCATGTCTCATTCTAATTTAGAAATTTAACTATACCTGTAAAAAGAAATTTGCCCATTTAAAAAAATTTAGTGGTATTGTGCAAAAGATTAAAACAGCTGAGATATACAGTTTTAAAGAAGATGTAGTTCCGTTCTCAAGAAGCTTATCATGTTGTGACAAACTCATCAAGTAGAGGAGTGAGCATTATTATGTACACTTTAAAGATAAGGAAGCTGAGTCTCAGGAGAGGTGACTTATAAATGACAGAGCCAAGAAAGCCAGAAAAGATCTTGAATGTTATAACCACAAAGAAATAATAAATGTTTAGGTGATAGATATGCTAACTATTCTGATTGGATCATTATATAGTACATGCATATATTGAAACAACAAGTGGTACCTCATAGAAATGTACAATTAAAGATCTGACAGATGATTAGAGTTTGCTAGGTAAGTATGGAGAAAAGAGAATGCTCTTTTTTTTTTTTTTTAGGGAATCAAGGTAACGTGCAAAAGTCTGACAGGATGAGGAAGTGTGGCAGATATGGATACAAGGGAGCAAAAGAATATTGGAGCTGGAGTTTAGGAAGTAGAGAGTAACAAAAAATGAAGACAGGGAAGTAAATGAGAGACCGATCACAGAGGGCTTTGTAAACCATTCTATAGGGTCAGGATGAGCTAGGTTATGCTGTTGTAATAAACAGCACCAACATCTCAGTGGCTTAACAAAGAAAATGTTATTTCTCACCCACATTACATGTTCTGCTCAGGATGGTAAGAGGCTTTGCCACATGCAAAAGGGGGTAAGAACATGCCAGACAGAGGGATTACAAGATAGTGGGAAAAGGGCAGAAGAAAGAAACAGAGAGATGGCTAGAACAGAGCAGGTGAGGAGAAGGTGGTAAAGGAGGAGGAGCCCACAGACAGACGCAGGGGCAAGATCACAAAGACCCTGGGAGGCTTCAATTTTATTTTAAGTGTAATAGGAAGTCTTTGGCAGGATTTAGGCAGAGAAATGACATGATCCGATTTATGCTTCTAAAAGTGCATGCTACAGTTTAGCATGTTAAAAAAAAAAAGTTACAAAGTTAAATACATATTTAGGATCTGATCCAAGCAATCCCACTTCTATGTAATTATCCAAGAAAAATGAAAACTTACTCTCACTCAAAAACTTGCATGCAGATATTTATAGCAGTGTTATTCACGGTTGCC